TTTGGCGCTCCATATTGGGACATCATCCCTTTCCTTTTCTGCTGGACATAACAATATCACAGAGCCACTCTTTTTTATATCTGAACAATATAATCAGAATATTACAATATTTTGGGTGGTGAACATGGGACTGAAACGATGGTTATTGTGGGTGTTGGGTGTGGCGGTTGTGACAACCGTTCCTTTAAAACCCATTTAGATCAAAAGTTTCAATTTATTCGAACGATTAACCATGATAGAAAAGAAGAAACCTTAAAATTTTAAAATCGCTATCATGGTTAAAAGAAATAAACTCATAATAAGAGTAACATCGATCGTTACCTTGGGCCTTGGACTTCCAAAGTCCAGAAATATCGTTCAACCATTAGCCCAAACCAAACTGATATTTTCAAACATACGAACTGATAAATCATTTTAATATAAACTATAGAGCTCATTAGTCAAAAGTCAACACTTTCGAATGAGTGTAATACGCAAAGTCGTAAATATATATGGCCTTCCAATGACCTCCCATATCAGATAGTAGTAATTAAAAGTATTAGTTTACATCACTAGAGTATATGGGCCCTATGTGGCAATATATAACAAGTCAACACATAAAACAAAAGCAGGGAGGCTATACAAGCTATAACAGTACACTATGCCTCCGGAGCCTTCCCTGATGGGCCACCACCTGAACTATCGCCTGAAAATGTTAAACCACGGGGTGAGACAAACGCCTCAGTAACCAACTTTCTAACTCATCATACATACTAACATGTGCTCGTGAGGTGTCAAGTGGGATAATTATTAAATCTCAATATATATATATCACTGAAAATACAAATATGTATATTCAAATAATCTCAATCATCCAAATCCTCATTACGGGAGTTAACACACAAGCCACATAAGTCTATCCCTCACTATAGGGGATCAAACCGACCTATAGGCCTATTCCACACTTTGGGGGACGATTAAATAGTCACAAAAATCCATCCCTTATTACAGGCCTATCCCACACTTTGGGGGACGAATAAAAAGCCACAAGGGTCTATCCCTTACTCTAGGGACGAAGGAAGAAACCAACCAATGTGCACCAATGGCGACCTTACCACGTGGTAGGATAGCGCTCAATCCAAAATCCAAATAACAACCAACCATTCACAATATAACAAAAATGTCTCAATCTTTTCCCAGTATAATCCATAAGATATAAATCATATATCTTTTCCAAACTCCTCAATCACAATTCCAAAAATCCCACAAAACAATTTTTATAGCTCAAAAGATATAATTTATCTACTTGAGTTTCAAATAACAAATCACTATACCAAAATAGCAAAATACTCACAAACAACATATTAGCACATATAACAAGTGGAAAGTGATTACCTCTCGCCAAAGCAATACTAAGGATTACCACAAGGTCAATCCTTTGCTCAACCAATAATTAATCTACACAATTAATATAACCACATATTAATATAAACTAATAAATTAATTAAACTTCTCTATATTAGTTAAATTTCTACTTTAATTAAATTTTTATTCTAAATTCCCGCAACTCTCATAACCCAAAAATTATTAAGTATTTTAGCAACAACTTAAAATTTCTAACAAGCCAAATTATTTATTTACTACCTCTAAATTATTTACCTTAATAAAAAGGATTTTCCACAATTGTAATTATAAAATTATTTTTTTCTAAATTCTAAAAACTCTCTTTTTAAGTTTAAACCTCAAAATCAAACTCTTAAAAATTTAATAATACTTTAAATATTTATAACTAAATAATATAGTCAAAACTTTAATGGTACAACTACCATAAATATATATTTCCATAAATAATAAACTTTTTAGCTACAATAATTATTTTAAAATCTCTAGTCACCCAATAAATAAAACTAAACCGATTAAAATCTCAATAATATATCAAACAATCCAAATAAATTATTTAACTTGAATTTAATCGGTAAAAATATAATATAAATCATATATAACAGATTTTTCAACTAGAAAAACTAACAAATAGAGAAATCTAACCGATTAAAATTAACAACTCATTTACTTCTGAATTTCTATAGTCATCTTTTGTCAAAACTCAATACTTAGATCATATACAAGTCTCAAAATTTTCTCTAATCACTATAGTAATACTATTATTACGAAGCATAAAATATATAAGAAATATTTATAAAGAAAGTTTGATGAAAGGAAGTATATTTGTGTACCTAAATTATCTTCAAAGTTTGCCTTCTCTTTCAAAATGATCGCAGCTCTGCTTCTTCTCTCCCACACTCTTTCTCTCTTCTCCGCTCTCTCACGCCCCCATCATCTTCTATCTCTTTTATCTTTCATTTTCCCAACTACCATTGCATTTTTTTCCTTCCTTCATTAATTCCTTCTCCCCTAAATTCCTTTCCCTTAGTCAAATGGTGCAGCTTTCCACCGAATTCGGTGGAAAGCTGCTTCCTTTTTTTTTTTTATATTTATTTATGAAAACATTATTATTATAATAATAAATTATTATTATTTTATTATATATATTTTTTTTGAATTTTTTTATTAGGATATTACAGCGGTGCTCACGGTGGCAAGTTAATCAACAGCGGGAAGGGGTGGATGATAAAGAAAAGGTGGAAGAAGGTGATAAAGATTGGAGGGCACAAGAGACTTTTGAAGTATGCAATGAGATGGTAATAATGATTCATAAAGGGGGAGGTATGAATGAAGATTACCAAATTTTTGGTAATCATTATTACCATGCTAAAGAGCAACCAAACACTCATATCTTGGTAATGTAATTACAATTACCATTACAAGTCTGCAATGGGATTGAACCAAACAGGTCCTAAGTTAACCAACGTTGAATTAGCAAACAATCCTCATACTCCATACAACATTTTCGCTCTTAATGACTCTGTCTGCCACTATTGAGTCTTTTGCGCACACAATGTAATAGCTGCACAATCCACTTGTTTTTTTGGATTATTCACGATTGATGAACATTATGAGAGAATTTGAATGTGTTGATCTGTGACGATGAATAAGTCATCCTCAACCTTCTCTTTGTCATCCTTGCATTTGTCTCCTTCCAGTATATATATGGCTAATTTATAACAACACTGCTTCTAATTCACAGGTTGTTAGCTTTGGAGCAAAGTCACAAACCTAACATTGGGAAACCAAAGACAGAGAGTGGATGAAGTAGCTAGGGAAACCAAAGACGTTGGGGGCTGTTCAAGAAACAATCAATGTTAGTTACTAAACGGCCTTGACATTTTTATGCCATTTTAAAAAGTTTTGGTATATTTTTGTACCATTTTTTAATTGATATGTTTGTTAAACAATTAACACTTGACTTAACAGTAGTATTTTTGCACCTTTGTTTTGAAACATTTATATAAATTTTTACACATGAGAAAAGTTTATGATGATAAATGTACATGGTGAAATGGTTCAGGGATGGATTTGCACCTTAATCCTAATTTTAAAAATACCTTAAAATTGTATGCGTAAATGCCACATACAACAAATTAATTGGTCATAATCCTTTGTTGTCAATTAAAGAATTTTACTTATTATCTTTTACTCAAAAAATATAATTCCAAGTTACGTACCCCTACACATTTTTATTCCTTCAATAGTATATAGGAAGAGAATGTTCATTTGGGGGTTAATTTTCTTTTTCTTCCTATAAATTGGCTCAGATTTCTTTGGGTCAAGTTAGGCTATAATTTTTCTGCATAACCTGAAATTTGATGATTACAAAAAAGATTTTTTAAAAAAAAAACTAAGTGTACTAAAAACTGGACTCATCAGTTTAAGCCCGAAATCCACAAACCAGCCAGTTATTCTATCCAGTTTATCCCCACACCAGAAAAACTTTAAACCAGTGTGACTCGGCCTAATTCGGGATTAATTTGGGTAACTTCCTGGGTTAAGTGAGTCACCGGTTTATTTTTCAAACTCACAGTACGCCGAAAAAGAATGATTTAGACACCGACTCTACTCACTGCTCGCCTGAGTTTCTCTGTGCTGAACTTCTCTTCCCTCTCCTACTCATTAGATCATCGCAGCTGATGCTTTAATGAGAGCTGACCAGATCTGTACCAGGAGAAGCCATGGACAGTGTTCTGAAACCCCATAACTCAACCTGTGCTGCTCGTGTAATGGCGGAAGGCAGAAGAGAAGGAGGAGGTTTGGAAATATGAACTAAGAATACCCAAAGGACAACTTTGATGCCGTGTTGAAGAAAGCTTAAAAAAAAAAAAAAACTGGTGACAAGTCATAATTACATCCCTGATGCCATTCATGAGATAAAGAGAATCAAAAGGTGAAAAAAAAAAAAAAAGAGGAAGAATTTAGGAGTCACGAGTTGAAGGAAAGTGACTAAAGAAATAAGGGGAAAAAATATAATTGGGATGAATTTTTATACACAAGCACTTCATTTAAGAATTAAAAATGATTTCTTCTAATTAAAATATAAATATTCTTACAGATTCTAATTATGTTATGTTATTTTATTTATTACCGGTTTAATTTTGATCTGATCCTTTAACCCTTAAACCACTGCTTCAATTGGACTGGTTTGCTTTTCACTAGAAAACTTGATAGGAACGGTTAAAAAGGGAGTTGAATTATACTATATATGGCATAGATATTACTAAGCAAGGACAAGCAAAGACATACGTACATATGCATCTGACAATTAAACCAAGACCAGAGGTTACATGTGTGTGAGTTCAGCACAAGGCTCACAGGTGATCAAGCTTATTATAGTTAAGCTTCTTTTTTTCTTTTTTTGGGCAATAAAAGAGCTGATAGAAAGTTTATTAGCATGAAACAAGAAGACGCCATATTTATTAGAGTGTTTAGGGTTGGATTAATCAGACTCCCTTCTGGTTCCAGTAGAGCTGCTGAAGGTGCCTGTTAGGGTATTTAGGCCTTGAGTAGTGAACACTACTGTTGTAGGGATTATTAAGGCCATAGCTGTGAGACTCCATTCTCATCCTCATCTCATCCTCATGCTCCTCATGCTGCTTCATCATCATCATATTCCCACCGCCATAATTGTGCCCCATCTCATACTGATCAGCCACCTCTTCGGCGTAGCGGTTATACCCACCAGAGCTGACTTTGTTGAGTCCTCCGGGAACGGTGCTGCCGTAGCCGTGGTGGTTGTTGTGGTGGTGGCCGCCGCCCAAAGAACCGTAAGCAGCAGCATTATCCTCATAACTTTGGTGGTGGTGATGATGCATACCAAGTCCACCAGCAGCAGCATTATCCTCATAACTTTGGTGGTGGTGGTGATGCATACCGAGTCCACCAGCAGCAGCAGCAGCGCCACCGCAAACGGCGGCTGAATATGAAGAAGGAGGCTTCATGGGTGGAGAGCCCCAGCAGTGTTGCTGATGAACAGCATAGTGTTGTTGTTGTTGCTGATCCATCCACATGCCACCATCACTGCCGCCATAGCCATAGTATTGCTGTTGGTACCCACCTCCTCTTCCCATTTTCGCTTCTTGATGTGCACTCATGTTTGGGTTTGGAGCTCCTTTTTATAGCCAAACAAATGTGGTTCTCTGTTTCTTTTTTTGTTTTTGTTTTTAAATATTCATTATTATTTTTTATTTTCTGATTCTGATGGTCAGAGTTCATCAGGGGGTGTTGCAGAACGATAACGAATAAAATGGGAGGAAAGAATATTTGAAATGACACAGAAAATGGAATAGGCCTTATCAGCAATTCCCCAAGTTGAAGCATCCTATTCCAGAAGGTATTTTAATTTGATATCTGTTTGGCCTCTGGGGCCAGATTTAACACCACCACTTGGTTGGAATATGAGACACTTGTTACATTATAAAATACCTCTTTATAGTGATAAGTGGAGGTGCGAAAATAGTATAAATTTAGATATTACTATTAAATTGTAGGGTTCATAAAAATTTTAATCCTTAAAATTTAAGTTTGTTTTGATTTTGATATCTCAAATTTTAAACTTGTGGTTTTGGTCTTGAAATTCAATTTGTCTTAAAAGGTTAGTCTATAGAAGTGTAACAATATTAAAATATAATGAAATATCATAAACGAAGGTAAAATAGTTATGTGGATTTACTAGATTACACCTAACTAGATTTTTTTTTTTTTTTTTGAGTGATGCCTAGGTAGATCCTTTAGTAGATTTTAACACCATTACATTTCTAGAGACTAATGTTTTAAGACGAATTAAATTTCAAGAACTAAAATTATATGTTTGAAATTTGAGATACCAAAACTAAAATAGACCCAAATTTTAAGGACTAAAAATTATATATTGATCCCAAATTGTACTTGGAGTTAATCAAATTTGTAGTTTTACTAGAAATATGATGTCTCGAATCTTAATGCTAAAATATGATTAAGTATTAGATTGTACAAGACTTGAATCTCCCTATTTTATTTTAGGATTAATAAAATGTTTGGCTCTTATAATTTGTCATCATTTTGGTTTTAATCTCTATAGTTTTAAATCATAGATTCTTGTTTTCTCAATTTTTTTTATTTAAAACATTAATCTCTATATTTTAATAAAAACTAGGATCATTTTGTCTTTTGAGGGATTTAAACTTATGGTTTGAAACTATATATTAACCCTTTATTTTATCACTGAAATATACGTTTTGGCCCAAAAAACAGAGGGAAACAAATTGGTATTTACCCTTCAAACAAATAATACCCATTTTAACGTCCCAACCTCCCAAATATTTTTTTTCTTTGCCAGTAATATTTCCCTTTTCATCAATACATTCTATATAAAATAAGTAACATTTTGACATCTGAAGACAATGAAATTAACTAGTTCATAAAAAAAATAAAATTAAACAATTTCATCACCATAAAATATCAAAATATTACTCTATCCTTTTTGTGAGAATCCAATGATGAAAAAGGAAAAACAGATATTTAAGATGTTCGAACATTATAAAAAGCATTAAATCGAAACACATTGGAAACCCCGAATCCCTCACTCTATATTCATCCAAAACTTACAAAGAGCACAGTTAAAGCAAACAAGACGAGGGCAGCTCTCGCTCACGCAGGGGATTCATGAAAGGAGAATTCTGAGGGTGAAAAGAAGAGTGAGAGAAAAACCAGGCACATAGCCCCACAGAAAATTAGCAACGTCGCTGTTTTTCTTAAAAATGTTCAAGGCCAAATTAACTTTTCAATAGAAAGGGCGGCATTATTCCCTTTTTAACACTTTCAGGATGATATTGAGAGGAAAAAAAACTTCCACATACCAGCAGTTCCTTCGTGATTACTTCCAAGGGAAAAGTGACCATTGACACCAAAAATAAAAATAAAATAAAAAAAGTACAGAGAGAGAAAGGAGGACACGCATAGAGCAAAGCACTGTAATTTGACGGATGCGCGCAGAACTGAACGGACAATGCATCAAATGTGTGAATATATATAACAAACAATAAGAAGAGACAAATTTAGCATCAAATAAAAATAAAAAAACAAATTAAATTCGTTTCCAATACAAAACTTCCCGAAGGAAACGAGTCATCTAACATATCGGGGATCAGCGACACTTGTAAAACAGAGTGAACTCAAAAGGATCATGTTCTTACAGCCAAACTTTCCTTTGCTCCCCCGGACAGACACTCTGCTGCCTCTTGAATGCAGTCCAACTCTTTATGTACAGATTCCCCTATTCCACCCAGCATCATGGCATCTGTCTGATCTCAATGCATTCTCAAAGTATATATAACTGAACATGAACATAGCCCAGGCCTCCAATTGAGTGATAGTCAGTAAAGCTTCAGTTAAGTGTCTCTCGAGCGGCACAGAACTCTTGGACATTGGAAATTTGTCTCCAAGATCATTCGCTCTCTCTTACACAATTTCCGGGCAAGAGAAATTTGAACTTCTCTGCATTCTCCAAAAGATAAGCAGGAAGATGAACTGCAGAATAAGAATGGGGTATTGGTCCCATTTTACCAATGATTTCCTTGAAGGTGTACTCCTCTGGAAGCATGTCGAATAAATCGTCCCCTTTGCAGATTACTTTCTGAATTCTTTTGGGATTTAAATAATGAGAGAACCTTACTCTGTCATAATGGCTGTAGGCTTTCATCTTAAAAATGAAATCACTGATTCGGCGGAAACAGAAGCTACAATGCCAGCCAGAATCCGCCAATAAGTCATCAGATTGGCGAAAATGAGCATACCTTGTTTTTCCACTCTCATACCTGTGAACTGAAGCTCTCCAGCTGTCATCATCCACATGAAACTCAAAGGAATAGAGATAATTCTTCAGTTGAAGATGGAGGATTGAAGGTATGTCATCACACCACCTCAAGAGGTTAACAGTGTGAGCACTTGGTATCTCATCAACATCAGACATAATCAACAGGTCATCATCTGAAATACCAGCTATCTTAAGAAGCTGGTCGAGTGCTACTCGCTGATAGGCTTCCTCAATAAATGGGTTCTCTCCTTTCCTAAATCTCCCACCAACTGTCCCATATGTCAATCGGGACTCAACAAATTTGAATTGCCCCCGATTGCTTTTGAAAACAAGAGGCTTAGGCAGTCCAGTGAATGTAGAATTTGACTCAAGAAGGACAAATTCTGATATGTAAGGATACAATTCTCTCCACCTTAAGTTCAGTATTTCCAACTCATTACTGAACAAAACAGCATCATAAACACGTCTTGGGTAGTCACGGATTCCCCAGCCATGAAGTCTGCAGAGATTCTCCATTGACACATTTTGATTGTAGTAATGCGGGATGACCTCGAAAGGCTTGGGTGGTTTTTCCCAGAGTGGCCGCAGAAAGTATGAAATCTTCTGTCCATGCACATAAATTCCAAAGACACACATCGGGACGACAGCAAAAAGAAATATGTAGGTTTTTACATCCAAGCCACGCAAAATGCAACGAACTCTTGACATGCCTGATACTTGGTTTGATCCCTGCATATTAAAAGACCGAGCATCTAAGAGAACAATAAACATTTCCTTCAAGAACGAAAGATCACAAAAATGACATAACAATGCAGCTTCATTCAATCATGAAATAAAGAGATGCATAATCAAAATGCTCATGTTCTTTTCCATGAGTGTGTACATATATAAATTGCAATATCCAGAGAATTTCCACAACACCGAGGACAACCAGGGAAATCGTACACTCTAAGCCCTGAAAAAGAGAGTAATCAAATGCCAAAATCTTATACAACTTATCCCTGCTCCTATATCCAAATTTAGGTCACAAATACTGCGTAGACACTATACATACCCAGAGAAAGTGTCAGCTAAGAATTCAAATCCTCTCTTGTGCTCGAGGATTGTGCTAAAAGTAAGGGCAGAAGCCTTTTAGTCATCTATTTTTTAAATTTTTAGTACACTTTTTCCACCTTTTAAGCCTCAGCTTCTGTGCACAGTAGGTGCTTTGGTTGGCAACTCAAGAATCAGACAGGGCAGAAGCCTTTTATTCATCTTTTTTTCCAAATTTTCAGCACACCTTTTCCACCTGTAAGCCGCACCTTCTGTGCACAGTAGGTGCTTTGGTTGGCAACTCAAAAATGAAATAGCTATGACTAGCCTAGGCTGTATTACTTCTTCTAGGCCACTGAGAAATTTTTAGCACACTCTATTACAATTGTAGCTATTTGGAAGCCACAAGCAATACAACTGGGGAGAATATTTTGATTCAAGCAGAGCGCGGACTATAGTAGTGAATAAAAATGTCAAAATATTGCCCGTTTTAGGGATCCATCGAACTTGGGATTGCCTCAGAAACCCAAGTAACCGGAACTATAAACCCTAACCGGAACCATGGTAGAAGATCAATGAACAATTTTCTAAGGAAGCAGACCAACAAGAAAACTAACATAACATACCTGGCCACAAACATCGCCGCACAAATCATCGGTCTTCTTGGAACAGTAATGCCCTCCGGCTTCTCCCATCATCCACCACATTCTGCCGTTTACTCTATTGACTGCTGAGCCCAACAGCCCCACCACCTGAAACCAATCAAGCAAAGCAGATCGATATCCGAACAGAGATCACTCGAATGCCGGATCGCTACTCTCAAACCCCAGAAGCAGCAAGCGGCGGCACTATATGATAGAAGCTCAGATTCAATAGGAAGAACTTAAGGCGTCGAATGGAAGAGAGGATTGGTGGTATGTAAAGAGCGGCGTCAAAGTGAATTATCAGAGTTTGAAAGCGAAGCAAAAGAGAAATTCTTAACGGAGAAGGAAGGTGTTTGAGGAGAAGGAGGATTAAGGTATGTAAAGGAGGAAGAAGAAGAAGAAGAAAAGGTTAAAGAAGGAGGCTTTCTGGGAATGGGGTGGCAATTGTCGAACTCGAAGCCTCACAGAGACACACACTCGAAGCCAAAGAAGCCGTTCTCCTCGAACGCCGTACGGTATGTTCTCTGCCGCTTGCGCCTGTTATTCATATCTATTATTTAATCTTCTAATATATAAAATAACTGCCCAAAAATAAAATAATAATACAGGCTGGACTTGTTTCAAGAATTTTAATAGTAATTATTGAAAAATTGGATTATGAGCTTTTAGCCTTCTGCTCTACACAAAATTTGAATTGATTTGTAATATATATTTTTTATTACTTATAATTAAAGTGACCAATTATCAATCTATAGATTATTAAGATGAATTTATAGCTTAGGAAAAGATAGAAGTTCAATAAGTAAATTTAAAATAAATTATGATACGCATAGATTGATGATGAAGAAGAAGATTTGAGTATTTGGTGATATTTTTAGCCATTCTCACGTTCAATTATGATAATGATATCGTAGAAAGATAAAATGACTCCTATTTTTGGTAATTAAAAAAAGACGTTAAAAATTAAAAAATTACATACAGAGATCTATTCACAAAAATTGTTGTCGTTTGCTTAAAATCAATACTAATGTCATAATAGGTCTTTGTTTATAATTTTCTATTTTTCAGGTCTTTTTTGCAATTTTTTCTTACTTAAAAAATGATATTGTAAATCATGTTAAAATTTAATATTTTGATCATAATTGCAAGTTTCAATCTTATATTCTTATTTTTATCCAACAAAAAAAGTTTCAATCTTATTAAATTGGAAAACTACATTGAGATCATGAGTGTAATAGTATTTAAATTTAAATTAATAGTATCAAATAATAATAATAATAATAATAATAATAATAATAATAATAATAATGTTAATATATTGTTCTAAGGTAGAACAAAGTCACACGTTATGTATTGACTGCTTCAACCATGACAAATCATTAGGGAGTTACACTAATAATAATAAATAATAAAATAAATAAATAATATTTTCTAAGGCACGTATATTCTTATATTAGTAGTAATTTTATTCAAGGTACTGTTAGATAATAAATATAAGCACATATCTTAAAAAGAATTTGAAATCTTAATTTATCATATTGTGATAGACTAACTCTTTTTTTCTTTTTCTTTTCTTTTCCATTAAGAGATTAATTCTTTCTACTAAATTTAATCTCGTTTGTATAATAATATTTTTGTTACCACCAAATAAAGGCAGTATTATTTTAGGAAGAAATTTCTAAAGAAAGTGCAAGTGTGACTGGGAGAGAAATGAGAGGAAAGTGTGGGATGATGGATGAGAAAGAAGGTGGGGCCTTCAGAGGCCTGGTGGGCCCCCACCACGAGGTTGTCTTCCTGTGGGCCCAATCTTTGTTCCATGTTAGGCCTAACGGATACATCCAATGTAAGTCCATTAAACTTAATATATAATTTTTGACATAAATAACCAATAAGTGTTAGTGCCAGTAGAAAGAATGGGGATACCTTAAATATTATATCCTGAGTTCAATTCCTGAGATAGTATATATGAAAAAAATACTGTTAGAAGGGGTCCTCATTACGGTGCTTGACAGTATCCCTTTTACTGTTCGGGTGGGAGGATATTCTGGGCAATGAAAAAAAAATTATTGACATAAATATATGACATATAATTCTCTGCATTTGTTTTTAAAAATGTTTTACCCGTTGATATTTTATTTTGATTCCATCATTTTTTCATATATATATATAGAGAGAGAGAGAGGTTTTAGTATTATCGGAAAGCTGAATAACCCTTTGCATGTTTACAAGGGAGTACTAATTCTTTTAACAATTAAAAATAAAAACAACTTTCAAAAGAAAACATAAACATAATATAAAAATAATACTATATTTTATTATTCATGTATCGTAATAGGCAATAGAAGTGTACCTTTTTAAAAAAATAGACATTGTATGTAGGTAGAAGACATAATACTCTTTTCGGTTCTAAACAGAAAAATTAGTGGAGGAGTTTGTTTTAATTTTAGTTCTAAATATAACATATTTACCTTACCTCCTCCCAAATATATAATTTTTTTTCCTGAACTATTCATTTTGATGGTATATATTTAAAGAGATTTTCATTCATGGAGATAATAATTAAAAAGAGTATTTTAGACAAATCAGCACATATTATTAAACAACTAATTTAATTAAGTTTGTTAATATCTATAATTTAGTTATGTAGTTCTTACATCTAGGATTAGAGGGAGTACTTAATAAACTTATTTTATTTGCATATCATTTCAGAAACATAATATAATTTGTGTTCCAACTTCCAAGGGTCAAAAAGCTCAAAACCATCACAATGAGCCGATTTAATCCGATACTATATTTAAGAAAAGATTAAAGGATGATGATATTTAATTAACGATAATAAATAAACATCAACAGCTACATATCTTTGATCATCGTCATTTAAATAAAATAAAAGTAAGATTCTCAAATTTTGGACTGGAATCATTTTTTTTATAAAAAAAAAAGGGGGGGATTCTATATGATACAAAATCAAATTCTATGTACTTTACTTTCGCAGCTAATGAAACTTAGCGTAGTACGAGGGGTTGTTCTAAGGAAGGAAGAGGAAACAAATGGAAATGATGACTTTAATTTCTTGAGCTGACAATTGAACGTGGATCCTCCAACTGGCAATTTTTAAGGGTCAACCACTAGACCGGTTCAAATTCAATTAGGAAAAAACCGTTGTTTGATTGAGTCTTCATATATAAAATCACACACACACACACACACACACACCACACACACACACACACACACACACGCACATATATAAATTTAGATAGGTGAAGAGTAAAAGTTGGTGTTGGTATTTGGTAGTACTTATCTCGAAAGAGATGTGCACTCTGATGTGGCCATATAATTGTCCGTAGACTAAGGGCAAGGACAAACTTAGTGCGGGAAGGTATATAATGCATTCAGGGTTATGGAATGTGCTTGGTTCGGGGAGAACTGAGGAGAGAAGAAATTTTAACGAGCTGGACTTTATAAAAGCTTTCAGTTTGATTTCTTAATTTTGAAAAATATTTTTTTAATTTTTTTTAACTCTGAAACCCTGAAAAAATGATGAGACATTAAGATTGTCAATATTAATAAAATATTCTCAAATGCTAATTTGTTGAGACTAATTTTCAAAATAATTATAATTGTGATTAAAAAATTATTATTTAAGAATAACGATTTTATGGTTAGAAAACTAAAAAGATACTTTCTAAAGTTAAACAATTAAACTGAAACATTGTATAAAATTAAAAGACTAAGAGTTTGTTTGTTTGTGTGCTTTGTTTTCTTGTTCTTTAACAATTTTATAAAATTGTTTCTTAGAACAAGTTTTAAAAACAAAAAACAAAAGAATTTGTTTGAGTAATAATTTAACAAAAATCACACTTGACAAGTGATGGTTGTCATTAGTAGTGATAGATAGGGCTGTTCATGAGACGGATCGGGACCAAGACCGGCCCGTTCCGATTCCGTCCCGATGAACAGTAACAGAACAGATTTTATGTCCTGTGTCCCTTCCCGTCTTGGTGTTGTCCTGGTTCCGGTCAGGACGGGACGGAACCGATACAGGACTAGGACGTCCTGATTATTTTTTTAAATTCTTTTAATAAAATCTGATTTTTTTTTCTAATTGCAGTTTTTTGGACCTAGGCCTTATAAAAACATCTTTTTTGTTATATTTTTTATTTCTTTGGGCACCCTTAAACAAAAGCCCAAAATATTACATATCATAGTCATTAAAAACTCTAAACAAAAGCTTTTAACACAATATAAACTTGCTAGAAATTTTGATAATCAATATTCTCAAATCATCAACGAATATAAAAGCTCTAAATAAATATATCCATAATTCTATACAATAATCTCAAATCTTTAAAAAAATATGAAAAAATGATATTATATAAATAGGATAAAAATAAAAAAAAATAAAAGGGACCGGGACGGGACGACCCGGGTCCCATCCCATCCTAGTCCCTTTTTTTTGTCCCATCCCGGTTTGTCCCGTTTTGAAAAATTTCGGGACAGGACAGAAAACCGGAACCGAAACGAGCCGACCAAGACGGGCCGGCCTTGAACACTTCTAGTGATAGGTGGTAGATAGTAGGTGATAAGAAAAGCAGATTTTTCAAAATTTTTTAAAATAAAAAAAACTAAATACAAAACCAAAAACAAGCTTTGGTTTTTTTTAGTTTTTAAAAACATGTCACTATTTTAAAAAAAAAAACAATTAACTAAAAACAAATTAACAAACAAGTTTTTTGTTTTTTTTTTTTTTAAAATAAAATTTTTTTTCAAAACAAGAAACCAAACAGCCCCTAAATGTTTATTTTCCCTAAATTTTACTTTCTTAGTATTTATGGTATATTTACAAACTTGTTCTTAAAATTTATACCATAAAGTTCAATTAAAAATAATTAAAATTTCTAAACACTTTAAGAAAAATGAAATAAGTTATCATTTATGAACATTTCAAGAATTAACTCCCTGAAATGTTTGAGTATGGAAGGTCTAACTAAAAAGGAAACCAATAATAGTAGCTGAATGGAATTGGAATTTAATTACGAAATGAATGGGCTCAGCATAGCTGGGGACATTCTCAATTTCCGTCAACCGTTCCCTTGAGGATGTAAAGTCAAATTCTGAACATCTCATTATCACCATTGACTTGGAATAACCCAAGGTCCTAACTTTTTTTTTTTCAAAAAAAAGTGTTATGGGCTTTCTTTTGGTCAAACAATATTATGGCCTTGGTTTTGCTGTATTTGGTTCTAAAAATAAGGATATTTTGGTCAATTCATGAATTGATAGTTGATATTTGATTTGTATTTTAAAAAACAAAAGGAAAATCTAAAAAAAAAATACATCTAAAATTTTAAAACTTTAAATCAGAAATAATTATAAAAATATGTCGTTATTTGCTTTTCAAATATTATGAATTATTATTAAAGTATCGTAAATAAGATTGATTTGGAATTTTAAAATTTAAATTATTATTTTTAGAGGA